AGCTATCAGGAGATTTTGGAGCACTTCATGCTTCCATCTGCTGAAAAGCTTTATGGAGATGAAGATTTCATTTTTCAGCACGACCTGGCACCTGCTCACAGTGCCAAAACCACTGGTAAATGGTTTACTGACCATGGTATTACTGTGCTCAATTGGCCTGCCAACTCTCCTGACCTGAACCCCATAGAGAACCTGTGGGATATTGTGAAGAGAAAGTTGAGAGACCAAGACCCAACACTCTGGATGAGCTTAAGGCCGCTATCGAAGCATCCTGGGCCTCCAGAACACCTCAGCAGTGCCACAGGCTGATTGCCTCCATGCCACGCCGCATTGAAGCAGTCATTCATGCAAAAGGATTCCCGACCAAGTATTGAGTGCATAACTGAACATGATTATTTGAAGGTTGGTGTTTTTTGTATTAAAAACACTTGTCTTTCATTGGTGGGATGAAATATGCTAATTTTTTGGGACAGGCATTTTGGGTTTTCATGAGCTGTATGCCATAATCATCAGTATTAAAACAATTAAAGAGCTGAAATATTTCAGTTGGTGTGCAATGAATCTGAAATATATGAAAGTTTCATTTTTATCATTACATTATGGAAAATAATGACCTTTATCACAATATGCTCATTTTTTGAGAAGGAACTGTATATATATACATATATATATATATATATATATATACATACATATACATATATATGTATATCTGCTGTAAAAAATACACGGTGTATATATAACCACTGTAAAAAAAATACATGGTGTATACATAACCAAAGTTTAATATAGATGAAATAGTAAAGCCAACAATAATTCAGTGATATCAGGTTTATTTATATATATAAATATAAATAATTTTTACAGCTTTGGTTCTGCTTTATAGCATGAAGTACATTTACAATGATCATCTTTATGAGGATCAACGATTCGAGCCTGTCTCACATCCACAACATACAACAGCAGATATGAGTTTAAACATCACCGCCCACTGAAAGCTGATTCTGTGCTGAGGTCAGCTGAATATTATTTTTACAAATTTGACATTAAATGTGCAGATATTTAGAAGCTGGCCCCACAAGTGCAACATCAAATTTAACGAACTAGAAAACCAACAGCGAAGAACTCTGAACTTGATATATATGTATAAGAAAGTTGTAAAAATATTTTAAAGGATGACAAAACGTTTGCCCCCGACTGTTGGAGAGTTGGTGTAGATTTCATCTGAGCCACCAGAGGTCGCACGAGCACATCTTCCAAGTGAAGGGAAGTTTTTCTTTCAACTTTTTGAGCCCAACAATGAAAATGAAAACTGTGTATTTCAAAATGTTTTTAAGAATTGCTTCGGTCATTGATGTGAACCGACTGCAGCTCATTTGCTGTCTTGTTTTTAATCAGACAACATTTGATCAGAATTAAAACCTCAGAGACGCTGAAACCATGGTACTCTTTTATTTCCTTCTGGTTTGATTACTGATGGTGTCCCATGAAACCTTTCATCTCAGAGGAACCAATAAACCAATAATTGTATAAAATAAAGCTATAAATATATACAATAAATATATTATGTTACTCATCTTGCATAATCTTCATTCTGATTAAAAACAGATTTAAATAAAGCAAACAGGTTGATACCAACAACTATACTTCAACGACCTTCATGCACGCTGAGATGGAGTGATACAATCTGAGAATGATGTCGGATTATGCTCTTGTTTAATCCAGTTTTAATGGAAATCGTATGTAACTGATGCACGTCCCTTCACCGAGCTGCAGTAAAAAAAATTAAATGTATCAAGGTTCTGGATCAGGACCAGTCAAAAGTCAGGGATCGTCGTGAAGGTCGGCAGCCTGTCGATCAGTCCGAGTTACCATGGAAACCACCTGAGAAGACAACAAGATCAAAATGTGACTGCCAGTTGCACCTTGAACCTTACCTGTCAGGCTATAGAGGCCAGTGAGGAGCATTTTATCATATCAATCATCTCAGCCATATAAAAAGATAATTACATCAAAGAATACTTGGAAATACAAACTGGTCAAAGTCCAGATTAAATTAAATGTGTTGCAGTACTGTTTTAATGACCTTTATTGACATTTGACTATGTTTCTTAAAGACAATTTTCTCTTTGTGAATCCTTCTCTGAGTTCACACAGAACAGATTAATAAAAACACACATATCAGAATATTTGTAACCCACAGGAGCCAGGTTATGTCTCACCTAATGAGTCCAACCCATGCTGATGGAGGAATCAGATTCATAATTGGAACTGGCAGATCTGCGTCTTCGTCTTCTCTTATTCATCTGAAAATGAAAGACAGACAGAGATGAAGAACAGACTTTAGAGGATCTCTTTAGAACTGAAGCTGATCTTATGTCAGAAGTTTTCCTTTCACAGTATTTTCGTGTTTCAAGTTTTCATGTTCCCAAGACTTTTATGGACAAAAACATCAGCGAGTGCCTGGTGATCAAACCTCTACCCATGGGGCCCGGTCGGGCTCAGCTTGAACAAGTCGCAAGGCCTTTCTGTGGGCCCACCACCTGCAGGAGGGTCCATATGAGTCAGGTGCATGATGCCTTGGGCAGTAGCCAAAGGTGGGGAACTTGGAGCTCTGACCCTGGCTTACCAAAGCTGGGTCTTGGGACATGGAATGTAATTTCTCTGGCGTGAAAGGAACCTGAGCTTGAGTGTGAGGTTGAGAGGTACTGACTAGATATAGCTAGACTCACCTTTATGCACAGCATGGACTCTGGAACCAATCGCCTTGAGAGGGGCTGGACCTTATTCAACTCTAGAGTTGCCCATTATAAGAGGCGCCGAGCTGGTGTGGATCTACTCTTAGATCCCTGACTTGGTGCCTGTATGTTGGAGTTTTCCCAGTAGATGAGAGGGTAGCTTCCCTATGCCTTCGGGTGGGGGGATGGGCTCTGATGATTGTTTGTGCCTATGCGCCAAACGGCAGTTCTGATTGCCAGCATCTCAACCAAGGACTCCGAGAAGGCCTTTTTGGAGTCCTTGGTTGGGGTGCTGGAAGGTGATCTAGTTGTAGACTCCTTTATTCTGCTGGGGGACTTCAATGCCCATGTGGGTAAAGACAGTGTGAGGGGGCATGATTGGGAGGAATGGAATCTCTGATCTGAACTCGAGCTGTGTTCTGTTTTTGGACTTCTGTGCTTGTCATAGTTTGTCCATCACAAACACGATGTTCGAACATAAGGGTGTCCATAAGTGCACTTGGCACCAGGAGTACGTAGGTCGTCGATTGAAGATTGACTTTGTAGTCATGTCATCTGATTCACGGCCATTTATTTTGGACACTCGGGTGAAGAGAGGAGCTGTGCTGTCAACTGATTACCACCTGGTAGTGAGTTGGGTCAGATGGCGGGGGAAAATGTTAGACAGACCCAGTAGACACAAACATGTAGTGAGAGTCTGCTGGGAACACCTGGCAGAAGAACCCATCAGAAAGATCTTCAGCTCAAACTTCCAGGAGAGCTTTAACCACATCCCAGATGAAGCAGGAACATTGAGTCTGAGTGAGCCATGTCCCGCACCTCAGTTGGAGGTAGCTGCCATGAGCTGTTGCTGCAAGGTTGTTGTTTTTGCCCCTGGATTGGCAGACTGGAGTTGTAGTTCCCCTCTTCAAAAAGGGGGACTGGAGGGTGTGCTCCAATTATAGGGGCATCACTGTCCTTAGCCTCTCTGCTAAGGTCTATTCAGGGTACAGGAGAAATGAGTCCAATCGTTGGTTAAAACCAAGATCCAGGAGGAACAATGTGGGTTCTGTCCTGCCCGTGGTACACTGGATCATCTCTTTACCCTCACTAGGGTCTTTGAGGGGTCACGAGAGTTTGCCCATCCAGTCTACATGTGTTTTGTGGACTTGGAGAAGACATTTGATCATGTTCCTCAGGGTACACTGTGGGGGGGTGTTTTGTGAGTATGGTATTGGGGACCCATTGCTACGAGCTGTTCGGTTTCTATATAAGCGGTGCAAGAGTTAGGTTTGCATTACCGGTAGTAAGTCAGACCCCTTCAGGGTGGGAATTGGACACTGCCAGGGCTGCCAGTTGTCACCGATCCTGTCCACAAAAGTTATGGACAGAATTTCTTGGTGCAGCCAAGAGGAGGATGGATTCCAGTTCTGTGGCTTTAGGATTCCAACTCTGCTCTTGCAGATGATGTGGTCCTGTTGACAACATCATGCTGTGATCTTCAGCTCTCACTGGAGCAGTTCGCAAGCAAGTGTGAAGCGGCTGGAATGAAAATCAGTACCTCCAAATCTGAGGCCATGGTCCTCAGTCAGAAAAGGGTGGGTTGCTCTCTTAGGGTTGAGGGTGAGGTTCTGTCTCAAGTGGAGGAATTCAAGTATATCAGGGTTTTGTTCTCAAGTGGGGGAAGAATGGAGCATGAGATTGACAGATGGATTGGTGCATTGTCTGCAGTATTGAAGACTCTGTGCCGGTCCGTTGTGGTAAAGAGGAAGCTGAGCAAGGCAAAGCTCCCTGTATAGTGATCGATCTACATCCCTCCCTTCACCTATGGTCACAATTCTGGTTAGTGATCGAAAGAATGAGATCATGGATACAGACATTGAAATGAATTTCCTCTGCAGGGTAGCTGGACTCTCCCTTAGAGATAGGGTGATAAGTTCACTTATCCGGGAGAGACTCATAGTAGAACCGCTGTGCCTCAACATCGAGAGGAGCCAATTGAGGTGGTTCGAGCATCTGGTAAATATGCTCCCTTGTCACCTCCCTAGAGAGGTGCTTCTGGCATGTCCAACTGGGAGGAGACCCCAGAGAAGACCCAGGACATGCTGGAGAGACTATGCTGTTTGGTTTGTCTGGGAACACCTTGGAGTTCCCCCAGAAGAGCTGGAAGAGGTGGTTGTGGAAAGAGATGTCTGGGCCTCCCTGGTCAAGATGCTGCCCCCGCGACCCGACTTCAGAACAAGTAGAAGATGATGGATGGATGAATGGATGGATGATGGATGGATGGCGTATTTTTACGTTATTTCTCACAAATAAACAGATGCAAATACATGATTGCCAGAGTTACATGACAGTGATGGATAAAACAATCAGACAGTTGATTTCTATAGCTGAGAGTTGAACTTCATAATTTTTATTATAACAGAATAAAACAACATGAAAGGTTTTTCGTGTGTGTTTGTCAGTGAAGCGTACCGCACAGTTGCCCTCTTGTTTGACACACAGGTGCAGACTGCAGTGCAGGTAGATTTCTTTGGAGTGCCCAGAGAACCTGAACATGTTGAAGGCGAAGTAGTTGGATGTTCCCTCTCCATTTCCCTTCACCTCCACCGTTGATTCTGCAGGGTAGCTGCTCATAAACAAGAAAACACCTTTAGTTCAGTGATCAGATCAGAGGTTGAGGAAACACCCCGATGAATGAGTCTCGTAGCAGTCTCACCCCTTTTCAATCAGGTAGTATTTCTTGCTTGATATAGAAGATGGCTGGTCAGTTGCCCAACAGGAGTCGGTCACCACGGCAACCACGTTTTCATCCAGCCCATAGGTCTCCAGTTTTACCCAGACTCTCTCATTCAATCTCAGATTAGTGTACCTCTCCACAGGTTTTGTGCAAGCATCATCAACGTAGGCCCTCATGGACACAGTGTATGTCCAAGGTCCAGCTTTCATGACCCCAGACACCTCACTGCAGAGGAGACACACAAGTGTGTTTATGAGGACATTTTGTAGAAATACAACCATAGTTTCCTGTACTGTGTTTGCCTATGTTTTATACAAGTTTTGTGAAGTTGGTCTGGATTTTTTAAGGCTTTATTTTAGGTAAAACCTTTTGATTCGTGTTTAGCTAACATCTTCTTTTGTAAGAGTCTTTTGTGTTTTCTGTTTTGCTTCTAGTTTGAGGTGCTGATCTCTTTCAGAAATTATTTTTTAAACTGATTAATACACCTCGTCGCCACATATTACTGATCACTCGCCTTCATACACTCATCTTATATATATGTAGATATATAAGTGCTATTTGTTGTCATCAATGTATGTTCCCATACAATGACAAAATTCGTTCTCTGCATTTAACCCATCACACCTGTTACAATGGAAGCTGGATGTGGGCCACGGGCCACTGCAGCTAGCTGCTGTTAGCCGTGGGCCTTAGGCCTCCTCTCGGACCCAGGACCCACCTCCAGCCCACACTGCTCCCCAGCTCGGACCTCCTTCAGAAGAGGCAACTCACACTATCAACAAATCAAGGAAACGTGAATTCAGTTTTTCCAATTGTATTCAAATCAAGGCAGGAAGAAGTTACAGTTTACAGCTCTGGCCGGTCCGGTACCTGAAGCGAGATCAGAAGCCGGAAGGGCTGGATGTCCCAAGGCATTACAGATTTATAGGCCCTAGACTCCTCCTTTGCAGAAGGGGAGCACAACCTGTCACGTGTATGAGGGGGAGTGACTAAGTGTGATCTCAAGGGATCTTAACTGGTTTAACATGAAGGAAAAATGAGACGGTGCTTCAAAAGCCTTTCTACGTGATGTGGCAAGCAAAAAATAAACTCTATTCCTTGACGGATACTGAATCCCTGGGAGACTCTTTTTAGAGTTACTGGCTCCATTTAACCAAGTCAGAACCGGATCATAATTTCATTATAATCCCGTCTCTGAGCAGATTAGAAACCCAGGGTCAGTCTAGATAATTTACTAACACACCTGAGCTATATCCAGGTGGAGCAGTGTGCAGCTATGTCAGTGCCCGGGGAGCAATTAGGGATTGGGTGTCTTGCTCAGGGACACCACGACATGTGGGCATGGCAGGGAGGCCGACTGCAACTTTCTGGTCCTGAGTCAGCTGCCATCCTTCTACATCATCTCGGCCCCCAATCTCTTCCCCCTTATCAGCAAACACCTGGTCATCAAGCTGAGCAGTTCCAGACTTATTTTATTGCCAACTTGAATAACCATTTCTTTTTCATCAAAATAACTTCAATGGACCAGTGAGATGAGAACTCCACCTGTTGGCTCAGGTCCTTCTTCACTACGATAGACTGGAGCAATGACCTGATCTCTGCAGATGTCTGCCAATGCACCTCCCTCTACATCATGCTAACACGTCTCAATAAGACTCAAATATAATTCAACTCTGTCTCCTCAAGACAAAGACACTCCTAATCTTGAGATAACATTCCACCTTGTTCTGGTCAGAGACAGCTCCTCTGAAAATTGAAGATTTCAAACACATGCTTTTCTTGACTTCATGCACTGTGTCTCTTAGACTTTCAGACCTTGCACTAGTGGTCTCCCATGAACCGTTGTTTGTAAGAGAGCACACACACCTCTCCATGATGGTGAAAGAAACAGTTTGAATGCTATGCCGAGCATGATAGCAGGAGAAGTCGAGCATGAAGTCATCATAACGAATTATCATGTCCGACGAGACATTCTGGGTCATGATGGTGTTCTTGTAGGTGATCTGGCTCTCATTGGTCTGCGGGGTGAAACATGAAGATGTTATTACGGAATGCGTTATCCACCTCAGATGTCAAAGCTGAACCCACAAAAATATCCCAAACTCAACAGGAAGCTGGAGGACATTTTAGTGTTTGTTGAAAACCAAGAACTAGAGAGAACCCACCATGATCTGTGTTCCACAGTTGCTGCTGTTGAAGCTGAAAGTCACCAGGTGGTTCTGTTCGTCCACCTGACCCCTGCAGGTTGGGTCAATGAGGTGTAAGACAGAGTAGTCGATGCCTCTTTCATCCAGGAGACAATTGACCAGAGTGATGGAAGCTGTGTTCTCACTGCAGACTGTTGGATCGCCTGAACATTGGTGAGATCAACCACACTTAGAAGTTTCCTCCAAACATTCGACCGTGTTGTCACGTTGTTTTCAAAGCTGTCGTACCAAAAGCATTTCTTTCTCTGTAGCTGGAAGCGAAACCAGCCCTACAGAAGCAACGAGTATCTCCATACTGAGAAACCTCTCCACAGAACTCATGATCGCTGCAGGTCCTGTCCTGACAGAAGGCCTCAGAAGAACCTGCAGATGAACACACTGATTAATTATTCTGTAGAACCAACAAATGATTTTTTAGAACAGATGTTGGACCAAAGCAGGACTTACGACACTCAGTCTTGGACCTCCAGCCCTCCAGTGTGGTGTTGGACTTCAGGCTGCAGGCTCTGGCGTAGGCCTCCAGGAACTGACACTTGAGGCCGTCCACTGCAGGATACCTGGACAAAGTGTCTGTGCAGGCGGTGATGTAGGGCTCTGGGTCGATGTCACAGGAGGTGAAGGGCGCCTCCTTCAGGAAGTTACAGCTGCTCCACACAAGGAAACAGACAACATGGGAGATACTTTAATAAATGGTTATGTACCACAGAGCTTTAAGGTTGCTGTAATTAAACCTTTACTTAAGAAGTCTGACCTTGATTCAGAAATCCTGGCCAACTATAGATCTATATCTAATCTAACTTTCATCTCAAAAATTCTAGAGAAAATAGTTGCAGGTCAGTTGCGTGAACATCTACAAAGAAATAATCTGTTTGAAGAGTTTCAGTCAGGGTTTAGAGCTCATCATAGCACAGAACCAGCACTGGTAAAAGTCACTAATGATATTCTCATGGCCTCAGACAATGGATTTGTGTCTCTACTGGTCCTGTTAGACCTCAGTGCTGCATTTGATACAGTTGATCACAATATTTTACTACAGAGGCTTGAATATGATGTTGGGATTACAGGAACAGCTCTAAAATGGTTTAAATCATATCTATCTGATAGATTCCAGTTTGTAAAATGTAAATAATGAATCTTCTTCATACACCAAAGTTGGTCATGGAGTTCCTCAGGGCTCAGTGCTTGGTCCAATACTCTTTACTTTATATATGCTTCCATTAGGTAAAGTTATTAAACATCATGGGATAAATTTTCATTGTTATGCTGATGACACACAATTATATTTGTCCATTAAACCCAATGAATCCAATCAGCTACTTAGACTACAAGCATGTCTTAAAGACATAAAAACCTGGATGACCCTTAATTTTCTCCTGTTGAACAGACAAGACTGAGGTTTTAGTTTTTGGACCTGAGCATCTTAGGAATGAATGTTTCAGTCTTTCTCCCTCCTAGAATTGCATAAACCTAGCTCCATCTTATATTACAGATTTTATTGTTCCATATTTGCCTAAAACAGCACTTCACTTTCAGGCTGCAGGTTTACTTGTGGTTCCTAGAGTTTCCAAAAACAGAATGGGAGGCAGATCTTTCAGTTATCAGGCTCCTCTCTTGTGGAGCCAAATTCCAGTTTCTGTCCGTGAGGCTGACACATTATCCAGTTTTAAAACTGGGATTAAGACTTTCCTTTTTGATAAATCCTATAGTTAGGATCGGCTTAGGTTTCCTGAGCTGTCCCTTAGTTCTGCTGCTATAGGCTTAGACTGCTGGAGGACAAACTGACCACACTTTTCACTCTGCTGCTGTCTTTACTTACTCTGCTCAACCTGTTTTGTATTTGTAATTATTTTTCTATCATTAACATGTTTTTATCTTTCAGGTACACCTGGACCTATATCTGGACCTGGACCTATACCTGGACCTGGACCTATATCTGGACCTGGACCTATTTCTGGACCTGGACCTACATCTGGACCTGGACCTATACCTGGACCTGGACCTGGACCTGGACCTATATCTGTACCTGGACCTATACCTGGACCTGGAACTATACCTGGACCTGCCATTCTGTGTTTGTCTGTCTCTCCTTCCTGTCCTCTCAACCAGCCGGTCAAAGCAGATGGTCTCTTGTCCTGATCCTGGTTCTGCTGGAGGTTTCTTCCTGTTAAAGGGAGTTTTTCTTCCCACTGTCTCCACTGTGCTTGCTCAGGATGGGAGACTGCAACGAAGCCAAGATTCAACTTGTCTGCTGCTTCCTTAGATAGAGAACTTTACTAATTGGCTTTTTTATGTATCAGTATGGGTATGTTTCTGTTCAGTGCCCTGAGACAACTTTGTTGTGAATTGGCGATATATAAATAAACTGAATTAAATTGAATTGAATAACACATGTATTAAACATGTAATGTACCACAGAGATCAGAGTGAAACACAGACAGATGTTTCTGGATGGATCTGCTCACCTTTCTGTCTTGTTGGTGCAGTTTCTAAAACTGTCATCCGTGTTGGTATACAGCGTCTCACAGCTGGGGGGCGACACACAACAAGGTCAGGACTGTTTGCTTGTTCATCCAGAGTTTCTCTGCAGTCCATTCATCCAGCAGCAGCAGAGCAGCAGTCAGTGAGGAGCTCTTACCTTGTGGAGCTGTACTCAGGGAGCCTCGCTTCACTGCTGGAGTCTTCACACAGACCTGTTGGAGGTGATCCAGTAGATCCTGGACCGGTTCAGAACAGAACGAGAGTCACATCAGCATCAACAGGACCACCAGGATGAACACAGCAGAGTTTACATTCCTCAACAACCTTATACTGGATTGTCTGTACCTTCCATTAGGATCTGCACGGTGATGCCGTCAAAGAAGATAGTCATGAACAAGTTCTTGATCTGCACCCTGGCAGTGACTCCAGTGTTGTCCTTAGAGATCTCCACATCATTAACCACCTGAGGGGAGCTGTCCAGGTTCAGTGGTGAGTTGTTCAGCTGCATGGCAGAGAGACAAAGTGGAGGAAACCCTGAGGTCAACATGTCAAACACACAAACAGGCTGTTTTCACAGCAACAACCACTGAGTTCAGCAGCATCAGAGAGCTGCTGCTTAATGTCACTGAGAGGAAACATGACAGGACACATTCTGGATCCAAGTCCACTCAGACTCACCAGAACTCTGCCGCCTTGCTTCAGGAGGATGTCCGCCCCGTCCACTTTCATCAACACACTGTCCACCAAGCTCACATCTGTAAGACGACGCTCCATAAAGTGGGCCAGCACCTGGAACTCTGGGACCTTCAGCAGAGAGTACGTACACCGATCCTTTACAGAGTTCACGTTGTTGTAGAAGTCGATGACAGAGGGGCCCGTCACTGTGCAGGTGGAGTGCTGCGTGGCGGTGTTTGGGGGAATGATGATGGTGGTAGATGGAGTAGCAGTAGTAGTGGAGGTACCTTTTGTTGCGATAATGATGGATTGGACTGTGGTGGGTCGAGATGTGGGTGGTGGCATTCCGATGAGTGGGATTGTGGGTGGTGGAGTTTTGCTGAATGGGGTACTGGTGTATGGAGTAGTGGTTGTGGGTGTTGAAGTAGTGGTTGTGGGTGTTGAAGTAGTGGTTGTTGGTGGTGGTGTAGTGATGATGCACCTGATGGAGACAGAAACAAACATGATGAGCTGCTGCTGAGGGCTACATCCAGCAGGGGGCTCTCCACCCTTCCAGGTGTCTGACTGAAAAGCAAAGTGTGGAGCTGATGGTGGCTCTAGGCTCCGCCCACTGATCACAGAGTCAGCAGCTTCATGATGTGAAATCATGTGGACCGGATGGAGGCTCTAGGCTCCGCCCACTGAATCATGTGGAGCTCCAATGAAGCAGCAGCTGGAAGCAGTCAGGATTTTATTGGTGCCTGATTCATGTGAACAACTCAGCTGGAGATGACATCGGCCTCACTGTTTACTCATCTCTTTGCTCCATCACAGCTGCATCTGACCCAGCACTTCCTGCTGCTCCTTCACAATAAAAGCTTTCAGCCAGACTGGAGCTCCAAAGCTAACAATCTGTCAGCACAGCTCTATGTTTTAAATGAAAAGGAGACACACTCACTTTCCCTTGCCGTCACAAATCTCTGCTGGTCCACATGTGGTGTTCACAAGGACTGCAGTCTGGGAACACCTGAGAGACCTACAGGTTGCAGCGTCAGTGCTCACGGTTGTGTCAGGCATGTACGGAACACCTGAGAATAAATGAAAGTATTAGTTTAAAACACACAGAGGTCTTGATGTATCTTTTGTAAAACAGGAATAAACAGAAACATTCAAACTTTACAGTTCCTCCCCAGAGTTCATGTTGGTGTGCTGAGCGTCTCCTACCAGAGAGTCTGCAGCTGCTGACGTCTGTGTACGTGGATGTTTGTGCAGCACTCGGAGTGTTTGTGACAACCATCTGAACAGTTTGGTTCCCACGCAGCACAACCACAGCCCTCTACAAATCAACGAACAGAAACAGAGACGAGTGAAGATGAGGCCAAACCACGTGCACAGCTTCCTCAGAACACCATGTTCAAGCACAACGTTGAAACATGTACACAAATATCTGAACGTAACTTGAGGTTTGCCACGTTTTACCGTATTATTACCTCCATTACACTTTCATAGTATATGTATGAAACGGTGCCTTCACTGACCTGCGTGCCCATCCCAGTATAAAACAACTCCACAGCTGATTGTTGCTGAAAACTGGCGAACGACAAAAGACTCTGTAGAAGTGAACAAACACGGTCAGCACCTTCTTATAAAAACATCAATGTACTTCATACGGTACAAGATACTTAACTAACACAATACACAGAGGTGTTGCACAATAAAGCCCCACAGTACTTTCACTTATCAGATACTCGACATCTTCATTCAGTAGGAGATGAGCACCAACACAGAACTCACATAGGTGGGGGTGTTCAGGTAAAACTCCAGGTAGCAGTTCATGGAGGTCGTGATGGACGGGATGTTGGACTGGATCTTGGTTTGTAACCAAGCGAAGCTCTGAGCGACGGTGAAGTATGCCCAGTTCACTTTAGGGCCCAGCACGCAGTCCCCATTGTTGGCGACGGGGTAAAAGCCGTTGAAACAAACCACAAAGTTTGTGCTCGTGAAGCTCACCTGAAGAGTCAGAAACACAAGAAGTCAGGCTGTTCCTACGAGCGTTCGTCAGGACAGAGGTCATGATGAGGGTTGGCCCAGACGAGCTCACTGAGGGGTACGGTTTGTCTTAAATATCCATTCATACCCACTCTAACCAGTTCAGCGCAACGCACGGGCTCTGAATAACGTGCACAGATTTGTAAACATTCGTGAAAATTACATTTTATTCATTGCATTTAAAAAATATTTTAGGTTTGTTTGATTGTGACAGTAGAAAGAGACAAGAAATGATTAAAAATACAAAAACAAAGATATTAAAACAAGCAGCGCTGAAGGAACAGATCTCAGCTGCTGTCCTGAACGCCAAAGGTCTCAAGTGAAGCTCTTACATGAACTGTCAGAGTGTGTGTTGGGGACTACTCTCAGCTACTGCCACACCAAACATTAGCTCCAAGTTTAAACAAATAGAAAAAAAGTGTAAATGAATCATCTTCATACGCCAAAGTTAGTCATGGAGTTCCACAGGGTTCAGTGCTTGGACCAATACTCTTTACCTTATATATGCTTCCATCAGGTAAAGTTATTAAACAACATGGGATACATTTCATTGTTATGCTGATGATACACAGTTATATTTGTCCATGAAACCCAATGAATCCAATCAGCTACTTAGACTACCAGCATGTCTTAAAGACATAAAAACCTGGATGACCCTTAATTTTCTGCTTTTAAACTCAGATAAGACCGAGGTTTTAGTTTTTGGACCTGAGCATCTGAGATCATATGTCTCCAGTTTCAGCTTCTCTCCATTGGCTCCCTGTCAAATCCAGAACAGAATTCAAAATCTTACTTCTAACCTACAAAGCTCCCAAGAACCTAGCTCCATCTTATATTACAGATCTTATTGTTCCATATTTTCCTAACAGAGCACTTCGCTCTCAGACTGCAGGTTCACTTGTGGTTCCTAGAGTTTCCAGCAGCAGAATGGGAGGCAGATCTTTCAGTTCTCAGGCTCCTCTCTTGTGGAACAAACTTCCAGTTTCTGTCCATGAGGCTGACACATTGTCCAGTTTGAAGACTGGGATTAAGACTTTCCTTTTTGATAAATCCTATAGTTAGTGTCGCTCCTATAGTTATAGGAAGAAGCCCGCTACTTTAGAACCTCTTCCTCCGTTTGTTCCTCCTGCTCGGTCTCCATCCTGATCCTTGGTGCTGGAAGTGGGTATGATAAAAGAGAGGGATATCCCCGAGCACAACACGTCACGTTCTGCTCAGAATATTCACATTAAGGTGTGTCAGGAAGCAGATGGACATCAAACGTGTGAAAGCTGACAGGAAGAAGGATGGATCAGAACAACTTCCTGTTTAATGGAAAATACACGACACGGAGCCCAAGACAGCCTGAGACAAAACCACAAGCTTTTGGCAACTTTGAATCATCAGCACTTTGAAATTATATTTACCAAGATAAAGTTGAACACATGTTGGGTGCTAACCCTAACTACTCACATAGACTTGGCTATACTTCTCTCCAAAGTAAGTGATTGGACAGTCGCTGATGTTGAGCATTTTGGAAGCAGTCAGGACCTGGGCAGAGTCACCTGCAGACACAGAGACACATGAGAGGAGTCCGTCAGCTGTTATCTGGTACAGATGTCAATCATCTGAGCTGCTGCAGGAGTCAACCAGCAGCTCTGCTCAGAAACAACGAGGTCTTCACATCTCATGAACCAACATCATCGAGAACTCTTCTTACCTGGCACTGCTGTCAGAGCCACCAGGAGGAGCAGGGGGCGGAGCATGATGGAGGCAGCCAATCAGCTGACAGAAAGCTGGAAGTCTGCCAACAGAGAGAATAACTCCTTAATTGACCTCTAATTACAGTTTTATTTTAATGAAACATTAATTTAGTGATCCAGACGAACTGTCCACCGGACCGTGAGTTCTTTAAAGAAACCGTAAAAACAGAGAGTGAAAGACAACCTGTGAATAAAACAAAAAAACATTTTAAAACTGGACACTTTGATTCAAAACGCCCACGTTGGATGTTGTACGGTGGCGTGGCGGTTAAAGGTGGAGCACAGACGGTGTTCTTGAAGACTACCTGCAGCTTTTAGAAACCGTGTATGTAACCGGAGCATGCAGAGACTCAGCAGACTTCCTGAGTGACATCATGAATGCAGACGATGTCTCTGAGGAACTCCATGAAAGCTCGAGTTCATCACTCAGACCTGACCAGTTGTCTCTAAATGTTCCTCCGTGTCTGACATGAGGTCAACTCGTTTCTTTTCTCACGCTCAATCATCAACTCCAGGATTTGGAGAACAAGTTGAAAGTGTATCTACAGGTTTGATCGTTCTTTCTTTAAAAGAGACGTTTTTCATTTTAATATCTAATAAACTTTATTTATATAATTCTTCAAAATGCTGCTTGAGCTCTTACTCTGTAAGGACTTTAAAATTTGAAGAATAATGTTCTTAATGAAGATAACTCGTTCGTTTTCTCTGATGAAACGTTTTTAATGACATGAACTAAAGCTCAGTAGATCCAGCAGGACAAACATTCATCGCTTCAGATGAACTCATTTTATTCTTGTATATTTCTATGAAGCTTTTCTTGTATCTGATCTTTTTTATTAATAATATGTATAATGAGGCGGCACGGTGGATCAGTTGGTAGAGCTGTTGCCTCACAGCGAGAAGGTTTCCAGATCAAATCCCAGCTGGGGTCTGTCTGTGTGGAGTTTGCATGTTCTCTCCGTGCTGCGTGGGTTTCCTCCCACAGACCAAAAACATGCATGTTGGACTGACGGGTGACGCTATTGTCCCTAGATGTCCCTGTGATGGACTGAGACGTGTCCAGGTGTCCCTGTGATGGACTGAGACCTGTCCAGGTGTCCCTGTGATAGACTGAGACGTGTCCAGGTGTCCCTGTGATGGACTGAGAACTGTCCAGGTGTCCTTGTGATGGACTGAGACCTGTCCAGGTGTCCCTGTGATAGACTGAGACCTGTCCAGGTGTCCCTGTGATGGACTGAGACCTGTCCAGGTGTCCCTGTGATGGACTGAGACCTGTTGAGATGTCCCTGTGATGGACTGAGACCTGTCCGGGGTGTCTTCCACCTCTCGCCCTGTGACTGCTGGATATGGACACCAGTGACACCGCGACCCAAAAAGGATGAAGAGGGTAAAGATGATGGATGATGGATGGATGATGGATGGATGATGGATGGATGATGGATGTGTACAATTTAGTGATATTTATTCTGAGCCTCAAACTGAGTCTGTTGTTTGTGTCACACGTCAACATTTTATTTTTATTCTTGTTAAACAGCCAGAGCTCGTCAGATGAATGAATGAATGTTTTTATTCTTA